TTATCAGCTATGTTAAGCTTCGTAACGCTGCGTGATAATGAAAAATGATGGAAAGAACCAGCTTTGATACAGTACATCACACTGTGACACAGCAGCAGAAAGATTCTCAAACGTTTATATCTCAAATAATACCTCTTAGACATGCAGCTGCAGATAGTCTCCATTCATGTTTTTACACAGCTTTGCGCCCTGTGAAAAATATTCTAATAGGTGTTTTGCTACTTAAACCCTTTTTAGGTAATTAGTCCCTCTGGTACTTCAGGATTCATATATCCTGCTGTTCATGCTAATACCACACAATACTGTATCAGGAAATCCCATCTTTTGGTATCCAGGGGTTAAAAAAGCAAAAGTACTCCTACGGAGAACTGAATAAAAGAAGATAAGGGGGTTTCTAGAGATTATCACTACTCTCCGTAGGCTCAAATAAAATTTATTAAAGCTCTTTGTTCCTAACTTAAAAAACCCTTTACAGCTTTTCCCCTTTCTGCTTAGCCTTCCTTGTATCCCTTTTGTGTTTTCTTCTAGCTCTGTGAATACCGTCAATTTCAAATCCCCATATTTCTCCTTCTCCAAAAATATCAGGGTAGAAATTAGTGCTGTCCAAAAATCAGAAATCTGAATTCAATAGAGTACCCTATTTATTAATAATACTCTGTCATATACAGCACTACCTCCATCAGTTACCTGGTGCCCCAGGATACAGTCATGCTTTCAATATGGGACTGATGACTGGTTACAGTTTACACAGATATTGCATGTTGAAGGATATCTTATATTTTATTTTTTTATTTTACATACCAAGAAGGGTTGAGTATTACTGCTATTATTCATCATTATCAATTTCTTATCTCCAAGAATTCCCTCATGATAGCTTTGTGATGGACATTCCTTATCTCATTCTCTCCTGTGAAGAATATGGTTAAGTCTCCAACACGTTTCTTTGCATCTAATACTGGGTAAACTGGTGTTGCTAGATGAAAATACCTATCTTTTTATTTGTTCTGCTTCTAGAGAATGACAATGTAGCAGAACCAAAGAGAACCCAGTGCAGTTGTAGGTAGTGGCAGAGAAAGTTATGTGCTTATTTTGCACACTGAAGCCTTATTCTATAGAAAAATTTCTCAAGAGAGAAAAAGGACATTATTTAGAGCAAATTGTATGCAAGTCTTCTCTTGTTATTCTGCCTACTTTTGACAGTGATGGATTGGCAGACAGACTAGCAGAAGACATACTAAGAAAAACAGCACTGTTAATGTAAGTGGTAAAAAGATACAAAATATAGATAAGCAATAAAAAGCAGATGAAGTAATGTCCCTCAACCCCAGAGAGAAAAAGATGTATTACACAATAATCTCTTTTCTTTCTTCTTATGTGTCAATATGCCTCAATTCCATGGTTTCTTGTCCTTCAGTACGTTAACTTCCAACCACCTAGTCGCACCACTACTTAATTACAGGTGCAAAATTACATCTGGAGAAGAAGAATCCTGACTGATAATCTGTTCTGTGGGCATGCCGACACACACACGAAATAAAATCCCTTCTATTGGCAATTATAATTCCACCTGCAAAAAGTATTATTTAGGCATTGGACAGATTCAGTTTCCTCCTTACAACATGTCTTACAGTGAATGTCTCCTTTTTATTTGAATAGTCATTATTAATGCAAAAGAGAAAAGATTGGATTTTACTCTTATTTTTGAGAGAGCTACAGTGACATAATAGCCATGTATAAAAGAGTCTGTTACCTACAAGAAGGTTTTGGGTCAAATTACCTAGACGATTAACCTGAGCTACATTTCAAGTAAAACTTTGGAGCTATACTGGCCTTTACTTTCTCTATACTCACAGTAATACAGATATACTAATTCAGATGGATTTTTTTGATTGATCTATTGCTGTATAAGAAGAGGATCATGCCCTTTTGAAGTAGAACTTCCTTTCTATGTTTTAGCCTAATCTCACTCCAGATTTCATTAGCCTAAATCATGTATATGACTGCACTACAAATGCAAGATGTTTCTTTATAAAATGTACAATTTTGAATGTGAAATACTCACTTGCTGTTTCTCATCCATGTCGGCACAGGTACTATCTACAACATATTAAAAAAATCTTTAATCAGTTCACAAAAGAACTTCTCTGTTTGCTTAAAATAAATAAAATATTATTTAATTATTATGCTTTTCTCTACATAGATTTGCATATTTTGATCCTATTCCAGTAAAAATAAAGATCAGTCTGATATCTCATGTTACCTAAATATTGTATGAATGTAGTCATGCTTACTAAAATCTTCTAAATGAGCCTGCACAGGTAGAAAACCCAGCATTTCAATTAACTGCATTTATTTCTTTGGAATCAGAACAGAAGGTACATGTATGTGTTTCAAAACACGGGTGAGATAGATAAAAGAGAAATTATTATTCAACTGAAAGGAGTTTTAGAGAGTTTTAATGAATAAAGTGCCCTAATGTCCTGAGTCAAATTAAATCCTTGCTAAAATTAAGGGCATAGCTTCCTTTGACCTCATTGGTTTCAAAATTTTATCCATGGGTCAAAATTCAGACTCACTGTAGAAATTCTACTAACCTCCTAAAAAATCCATAAAATAAAAAAGAAGTTTCAAAGAAATATAAGATGTCTTATAATTCTTACAGTTGGCATACTAATTTTTGCAGCTGTAAGTCAGAAAAACACTGATTCTTATTCATAGATATATAGATTCTAAGAAACTGATAACGTTACTCACAGATATAAACAGAAAAAAGCAAATTTTATAAAATTTCTGGAGTAAAGGGGAGAGGAAGAACATAAATAAAATAATATACAAAAATATAGCTGTTATAAACATTAAAACAAAATGACTTACAAAAATGTCTGTGTATACATTAGATTGGAAGCCATGTTAATTTAAAAAAAATCAACGATCTCTATACAATAAAAATGTCTTTACTTTCAATAAAAAGAGCTAATATAGCTTTTAAAGTTTTACAGTAGGCCAATATATTGCATAAGTATGCGCAATACTACATATTTACAGTTTTTTAGGCAACATACAGCAATGGAAATCAGAAAACTAATGTACGGAGTTTAGAATGTATAGTCTACGAACACCAGGTCAAAATACCCGACAGATTAAAACACATCACTATAGTTACAAACAAATAAGTGTCTCAAAATGCATTTATGTGACTATAATGCATTGCCTTAGTATTTAATCTGAGAAGGTTAATAAAATCTTTAACATTGCAGTATTAGAGATTTTCAGCTGATACAAATCAATGAATTTCCAGTGATGTCAGAAGATTTACTTTGATTTACACCAATTAAGAATCTGATCAAATATACTTAAAGTTGTATTTCAAATGCCAAATGTCAAGTAAATGTTAACATAATGCCAAAAACGTACTTTTTAAAAAATGTATGTGATCATAGGAAAAAAACTCAGAAAAACTATAGCCATTCTGTAAATTGTATCTTTTATAAGAAGTATATTATCACATATACACATATACACTAAAGAAAAATCGATGTTCCTGTGGTTATTTAAAGCTTAGTTTGAATGTCATTCCCAAATGAATTTTTTATGAGTGTAAGAAGTCTATGAACTAAAAAGTTAACATTGCACATAAAGAAGACCCTTTGCTGCACAGTAATTTCATTGTCATTTAATTACACTAAATGATAAAAAGTATATTCTTATTCAATAATATGCAGGAAAAGGTGCTACAAGCTGTTTCTTTTACTAATATATCTGATCAGAGGTTTCAATATTCATGAATACCATTACTCACTCCCACAGAACCTTAAATCTCGTGATTTCTCCCAAGCAATTAAAAGCTTGGATAATGTATAGTTTGTGAACGAGACCATATAAACAAATTGATTCGTCTGCTTTTTGTAGGTATTGGTAGCATCAACAAAATTTTATGCATTTACTGGCAAGGCAACACAAAATACATGACTATGCTTAACAATGCAAGATGATTATGATTCTTAATGCCTGAAAGATCCTACAGAACATGATTCTATGGCTCACATTACCTGAGAAATGGTATGTCTCCAACAAGGCCATAGCTTGGACAGATTGCAACTTTCCAAGGACAAAAAATTACATTTCTCATCTCAATGGAACATATTAACTTTTCAATCATTTCTCTGCAGAGCTGTTCTGTGAAACCATTTAACAAAAATCTATAACCTAAATTAGGTTTATCGTTGCAGTCTGAAGATTCAATCCTTACAGTTCAGTTAGATTAAAGGAACAGAATCACTTGTAATTGTTTACACTATGAACAGAGCCCAATCATTCCATAAAGTTGCAAACTGGACAGGAAAATAGACTTTTAAAAAAGCACTAGATTTGTGCAAACTTTAAAATTCAAAAGTAAATTAATTCAATTAAATAAATTTGGTATAATTTACTTAGAATAATATAAAATTAAATTGTTTAGCATTTGCAATAATTTTTACTTACAGAGGCCAAGTCATAGGAAAAAAATACACTTTTAAACCTAAAATAGCAGATAACATGAAAAAGAACTACATTTAGATAGCATACTCACTAAAAGTTGTATATTTAGTAATAAAACAGAAACCCAAAAGAACATTGTATTAGGTAATTTAGTGTGTTCAATTTTAAACTTAATGTGTAATTTATTTTTATATTGTTTTTGCTTTTACATATGAAGTCACATATACAAACAGTTCTAGCACTAAGGGCAATAACATGTTAGAAAATAATTACATTTGGTAGTTATTAGTCTTTTATTCTAAGTAGTTTATACACTATTGAAAAGCAATTACAGCATATAATAAATAATTATGCAGTGTCTTAAAACTGTTTAACAACTTAAAATAGAATATATTTAATTTAAATTGTAGAAAAAACATAAAATCCAAAGCTTTTTGAGCATTTGTTGGAAAAATGTGGACATCTAAGTTAACAGATGAGATTTTTCAATGAACATTATAACTGAAAATTTGAAATTTTTACGTTTTAATTTCCTGCTAGATAAAAATGTATGGATGTGATAAAGTGTAACAATAACTGTCCTACATTGTTTCTTTTTTTTCTTTTGAAGCGTACTGTTGTATAACTAGATTGATTTCTTTGATAAGACATCAGAATCTAGGGGAAATGTCTGCACTGACTTTTGCAGAAGAGCACAGAGGTACAAAAAGCTGGCTTGAGTGAGCTAAGATATGAGATGAACTAGCATGCACCTTTTACTGCTGTTGCTATATGGAGTCCAGTGCCTGAGCAATGTGGCTTAGAGCCAGCTTCACACCTGTACATTACAGGGGGTAGTGGAGACATACAGATTACATAGGCATACTCCTGAAATAACAAAGAATAGGATGAGGCAACTTAAACTATATTTTCCATATATCAGACAGATAAAAATGGGTAGTCACTTGAAACTACAAGCTAGAGAAAAAAATATCCTCTTTATGGCATTATACGCATAGATGCTCAGCAACATCCTGTTCCATGCCATACTCTCAGACAGGGGTTTCAAGAGGCTTTCCATAACCAGATGACTCATGTGCTCTTATCTTTTTGCTTATTAACATAATTCTGCCCTTTATAGTGGCACAAGGAAAGCTTACAAACCTTAAGCATCTAACATTGTGATCATAATTGACAAAATGTTACTTCTTATAGATTTAATGCAATTCTATACTAAAACTGGCAATATTGATATAGTCAAGTTCTAAGGTTATAGATGCAAAAAATAACATCCAGACATATATTATTCAGAATATAATATTCCTTGTTAAATGGGTAATGTATGCATCTATTAATATGTAACGTATTTTAATAATCTTCAAAGTTACATTCTTTCAGTTCAACTGTGTATAATTTCATTATAATATATAAATGGTGAAAAGAAATCAGTAATTTCAGAGCTAGCTTACCTTTTATTACAGAGGGCCTACTGCTATCACTGAAGATCCTGCTGCAAATTCTTAGCTTCACTCACATGACTATTTCATTTTAAGTCAAAAAGACAGTTCTATTTCAGAATCACTTCTATATTGATTTTGGGCCATCACAGTTGTGGGCCTAATATATCTCATATTAAAGTAAATGAGAAGACTTCAGTAGCTAAAGTTGGATGAAGTTTGACAACAGTAAAAGGCTGCAGAGGTAGAGAGAATTCTCTGAATTACAGTTAGAAGTAATAGCTATATATTATTGTTATTTCTATTCTATATTATTCTTTTTATGGCAAAATGCTGCAGGAAATAGAGTGAAATGAGGTAAGAATTTGAATCAAACTGCTGTGGAATTAAAAGTTCCACATTTGAAGTTCTTCATTACCTCCCGTCATGCTTACATATTCTTGCTATTTCCATGTATTGCAAAAATGGAAAGGATCTTCATCTGACAGATTTGTCTCCCACTGAGGTAAATGTAAGATGTGTGTCAATCAAAGACAGCCTATAAGTATTTAGCTGATTCTTCTGCGTACACCTGCATTTTAAAGTAGGCAGTCTACTGCACTCCCTCTAATGGGGGGAGGGAGAGGCTACATTGTCTACCACCTAGATGAGTACCGAATTTGAGCTCTCTAAAACTAAGTATAAATGTGGGTTTCACAGAGCAAATTAGGCAAGACACCCTTTAAGTGTTTGCTCATGTGGACATGCAAAATTTAGGCATGCAAAAAAGGAGAACATTTGGAGGCTTGATGGAAATAAGGTCTTCCCTATGCTGCATGGTTTCAATATAAGGTAGCTGACCATTCCATTTTAAGTCAAACGGTCTTTGATTTTTTTCTTCTTTTTCTCTATCATTTATGTTATTTTTGTTACGTAGTCTTTTCATGGTTTAATATAAAAGAGATTAGCTCAAACAGTCAGCAGTTTGTGCACATACTCCAAGGAGGCAAAATTTGTCATGGTGACATCAAACCGCTAACACAAACAGATCTATTATCCTTTCTCTCTTGCTCAGTAAGACAGCTGTCCTCAAGGTATTAGCTTCTGAGCCTCTGTGATAAATCACTGAAGTACAGGAAACCTGATTATCCAAATACAGCAGGAGCAGAGGATGTTATTCAAATGCACAACAACATGGAAGAACTTCCATGAGGCTTACAATGAAAGATTTTTGATTTAATTAAGTAGTTAACAAAAATTTATTGCAAGAGATAGTTTGTCACTAGATTACAGTTTCAGAGAACATAGTACAAAACATAGTGCATCAGCTTTGTCTAAACAGTAAACAGGTGCAAATACATAAAGATAAAAACCAAAAAGTGAATACTTTACAACATAAGTTACAGACTATAAATATATTTTATGTACATTATACATATTCTAAGACATGATTTGCACTTATGTATATATAGTTCATAGTAGTATCAGACTATTCAGTGCTTTAATTATAGGATAGGTCTGAATTTTACATAAATATTTGCATCATTATACTTACAGTAAATCCTTCTAAATGAATGAGTATTTTTAACCTGTTTATTTCACTAATTCACACAACAGTTTTGCAAAGCTGAGGAGACTGTAGAAATAGCAAGTTTATTTGAAGGCTCCTTTTTCCCATTGCTTCTGCTAGAGATCTGTCCTAAAAGAGGGGCTGCAGTGGAATGACAGCTGGATGTGGCGACAGCAGGGAAGGAAACACTGTGTGCGGCAGTGGGGGAAAAGTCAGGTGCGTTGGATGGAGGACTGAAGTCGGAATCAGCGGCAAATGCGGTGGAGCAACAAAAGTTGCATGGCCTCCTGGAAAAAATCTAGGTCCTACTGATAGATGAGGTAAAGGTGTTCTGGAAAGAGTGGGGACCTGTGAGAGGAGCTGCTGGTGGGGCTGAAGAACCTTAAATGTACTTGCAGCAGCTGCTGCTGCAGCTGCATGCTGCTGTAAAACAGTGTGATGAATTGTGGTAACAGAGGTAGAACACAGTGGCTGCTGCAAAGGTAAGGGCAAAGGAGAACTCGGGGGCTGGACTGCTGTAGGAGGAAAGGTAAATTTCACTTTGTTAGCCAGCATGTTTTGCTGCATGATCTGTTGATATGCTTCGGATTGGAGGTCTTTGAATTTTTCGTGATTATCCGGAGGAAACATCAATGTCTGATCTGGCAGGGTGAAGGGGGCAATTAACTGCTCAGTAGTTAAAAAGGTATGACTGTTTATATGTGTTTCTTTGAATGGCAAAGGTGGTGGGCTGTTAAATATGCCAGAATTACACCGTACCCATTCACTAGTCACCTCATTAATTTTCTCAAGCGGTACAGCCTCAGCCAATTCATAGTGGCAAAGAAATGATCTAGGGAAAACCTGTTCCAAATTGGTGATGGGCACTTTATAAGGAGCTTGATTTTCATGATTGTTCACATTTCCATTTTTCTTTTCATCTTCCAGAACGTCCTCTGTAGTTGCAGCGGCTGGAACATTACGCTCAGGAACAGAAGCAGCCGAATGTGTGACAACTTCTGAAAACGTACTCGAAGTGTTCTCTGCTGCTGAACACTCTGTCAGTTTGTCTTTCCCCAGCAAATGTGAGCTATCAGTTTGTAGAGATGACTTGTTTTCCACCAGCTGCATTGTTTCATCTGTATTTTTTCCATTAACAACTTCGGGATCCATATCAGTTTGCTCTATATTGTCTTGAACCAACAGTTCTCCCAAAATATTTAATGTAGAATTTGTAGAATTTTCTTCCAAAGCTCTGGAGGTCTCACTTCTTGCATCTCTGTCAATAAATACATGACGTATTCTAGTTTTCCTCCGCCTGCGTTTCCCTTTTGCCTTGTGATGTGCAGCTAAAGTACTTGTTTGCCTTAAATATTCTTCTGCTAAAAATGTCTGTCTGTACAAACTTTCATCTGATGAACAGGAATAGGTATGTTGTCTTCGTTTTCCGTGGGATTTTTCAGGTTCATCTGTCAGAAAGTTGTAACCTCTCTTTATGGACTGATTTTGACTCAGAATCTTCTCACTGCCGTGTCCTAAACATTTATGCTCTGGGCTACACCTTGATCTTCTGACTTTCCAACTACAAAATGCCCTAGAGCACATTAAGTTATGTCTTCTGGAATTCAGAGTCAGTTGTTTTGATTGTCTCCGAGAGCTTGCTTTGCTCTTCCTGTGGTTAGAATCAGTGCTGTGGTTACTATTTTTTGCATTCCAAATCTCACATGAGCCTCTGTCCCCATATGCATGAGCTGATGCAGCTATGGCTCTTCTATGAGTTTTGTTTTCAAAGCCAAGTTTTTGAGATGACTGTTGTATCTCATCTGTAGGTAACGAGATATTCCCTGCATCATATCTGCACTTCTCTGGATTATTTTGAAGGTACTGATGTTTATTTTCATCTATATAATTAATTTCCTGTTCAGGCACTGAGGAAATCTTCATTTCTGCCTTTGCTACTTCCCGACAGTGATGATGATGATGGCAATGACATAGTTTTCTTCTCTTTTTCCATTTTCTATTTTTGCAAAGCCGTTTTACATGACTTTCTTTGATCTGGACTTTGCTATGTTTCTTATCTATCACAGTGTTTTGTCGTAAATGATTTTTAGAAATGTGACACTTTTCTATTTTTCTTATCCTGAATGACTCATCCAAGCACATTTTATCTTGATTTTTTTCAAGATCACAATTTCTGATGAGGGAAACATCACTTATGAGAGGTATTGTATAGTTGCACACATTTTGATCCATTTCCATTTCATAATCACCACATTCGGAAGTGGATTTATTTGTAAAACCTAAGACTAGGCTATGGTTGGATTCAGTTTTATGGTGAGAATGAGGTATGTGTGGCTGATGCTTGGGCTTTTCTTGGCTATCACTTGCTTTTGATGACTTGAAGTCAAAATATAAAGGATTACAGCTATAAGAAATGGATGGGTCTGTATTTGTGTAAATTAACATTTCTGATGGCCACTGAAGTATATTTGATCCATGTTTGCTAAGAACAGGAACAAATGGTTCAGAGGGTCTTTTGTGTGTCTCTGATTTACTTTGTGGGGTTCTATTATCTTCTTCATAATTTGATGAAATCAATGCATCAGCCCCAAGTTGTCTTATTTCATTTTCAATTGTGGATGGATCAATGTTCCTGTCTTTATTATTTTCCCTTGCAATATCTTGCAGAGATAAACAATTCTCCAAAGCAGTCTGAGCTAGAGATCCGTTTCCCAGCAGCTCATAAGTGTTACATTCCAGAGGCAGTACATGATTACTGGTTGCACCTGTGGACAGTGTTTGATCTGGTAAATCTGTTGTACTTACATTAATATTGTAGCCATCCAAATCAGAAGACACAGGTTTTTTTGAATGAGAAACATCAGGAAACAATATGGGACTCTCTAGCATTCTGTTTTCTTTACAGGCTGGCTGTTTTGAATCCTGAGTTTCAGGAGCTTCTTCTGTCACAGCGCATTTTTCTACCAGTGGGGGAAAGCAGTTACGTTTCTCATCAGGGCACAGAACCATTTCTGCTGATGGAGACTGAAGATTACAAGCTCCTGGAACAAATCTACTTTTTCTGCTAAAACCATGCTCAATAGATGTTTCATCATTATATTCATAGAAAGCAGCAGCTGAAGACTCCAGTTTGACTGCTGCTTTCTTAGGGAAAGCAAAAGAGAACCCAACTTTATGTCCTTGAGCTCCTTGAACTTGATCTCCAAATTTGTTAGTGTCGGATTTATTACTACATGCATTTTCAGGAGTGGAAGAAATAACAGAAGCAACATCTTCAGAATTCTGTGCACTATGCGTTAATGTGCAGTTGAAATCTTGTATGTTAGCAGAGTCTATGGCAGCACTTTGTGGGATATCACTGAAATTATCACGCACAGTTACTGTAGTGGATTTGAACATGGGGCCACTTCCAGGAGCACTAGAAAGGAAAATAAAACTCAGCGTAAGTACATTTCAAAGAAATGCAGATATTAGTACTGTATTCCTGCTAGAGAAACTTGGTGTTATGTTGGTATCTGAAAGTTTTTTAAGGAAATAGGAAGACTCTATATATAGAGTCTTTTTGGAATATTAAAAAAGTAATTATGTTTTAGTAAGATCAGTTGGGCTAGTTAAAAGAGGCGAGTAAATATTGTACCCAGAATTCTTTTATGTGAGGTTAGAAGACGCTAATTCTTATAAGGTAGTTCACTTGTCCTAGCTATACAAGCTGGCCTAATAAAAGACTATCTTTCTCTAGAAATCTTGCTTCTCTTCTCCCTGCGGATCATCACAGTTTCAATGCTATTACTACAAATAGTAGAGGTCTTAAATTCCTTTGTGCTGCAAAATATATTAAAACAGAGACCATCTCATAGATTACCTCCCTCTTAATCATAATCCTAGTGACTGCCTCTCCACCTACAGGCAATCACACCATCAACTCCCTTCTTATTTGTGTTCATAAATGTTAACTGTAGCAATCTCAGCAGCTTCTTTCATGAAAAAATAATTTCAGGAAACTAGTTCAGCTGACAGTAGTGCAATAAGCGATTCATCCTTCTTGGGAAAAAATTTATCACTGTCTACTTCTGTTCTGCATTTCATGTCCTCTTCCCATCTGCTCTATTTGACTTAATAGAAAGCAAGGAGAAGAGCAAAAATTGTTTAAGCTGCCAGTGTTCCAGGATTAAAAACCACTCAACATTAGGAGTAATAGTACTTTCTATGTTACAAATTTTTTTTTTGTTTCAACCAAATTTTCTAAATTTTATAGTGCAGAAAAATGCTGGATGACGGGTCATGGAAAAACTTGCAAGTGTAGTTCAGGACAGAGAAGTGCTGAGTTAAAGAACGACAAACTTAATCTATTTGGTCTAGAAAACAAGGTGGAGATTTTATAAGAAAGAATTTCCTCATGAGAAGTCCTGCGTTTTCCAGTTCTGCATAAGTTGAAAATATATTTAAAAAATTTTTCTCTAACAAAATAAAATGTTGACTTCTTCTATAAACCCAACCTCGAAAATGCTAGTTTAAAAAAATCTAGTATGTCTGCTTATATCACACCTCTAAGGACACAAAGTAGTAGCAGAAAGCAACTAGGAAATAGAGAAATAAAGCTCAGAGGCAATTTCTTCTTCAGAAACTAGAAGAAGGATATTTATAAAATAACAAAATCTGCGTTTCACTAATATTAAAAAGAGGAACAATACATTCCTGAACAATGGAGGAACAATACTCCTGAAATTTACCAAATTCAGATTTTCAGGGAATAATATCTAAAGCACTTTCCATAAACAGATAAAAAAATAAAAAATGGATGTTATTTTGCTCATGTCAAACAGACCTCCCAAGATTCATATCATGTCCACCTGCTTAGAGCGACTTTGTTTCTGTATGCATACAAACTACGGACGCTACCACTGAAATAGAAATAAAGGTCTTATGGTCTGACCTCTCTGCTAGTTCATCTGGTAAGATGAAGCCTGGATAAAAAGAAAATGTTTGTGTAAAGCAACTACTTTTGTGATCATCTGAGCATCCACAGTTTTTTTTCCTGAGACTCCACTGTGAAAAGTCAACCTGGAACAAATATTTTCAGTGGCTTATCAGTACATGATATTTTAATAAGAATACGGTCACAAACAGCAAGCTCAACACTAAACTCAGTGGTATGCCTAGATTAAACAGTAAAATGTGTGACTAGTGAGGAGTCACTCTTGCAATGAGAAGTAAACACTCTGTTGAGCTGGGAGAAGGAGCACTTATCTTTTAATATAAAGCATCCAGTTACTGAAATTTAAAACTACATTTCTGGATGCTTTCCCAGGCAAGTCGTTTGAAAACTAAATCACAGAGATCTGTTACACCCTAGAAAGATAGACTGTATTCCTCACCTCATCAGTGAAGTAGTGTCAGCCTTCAAATGCATGACCTAGTTCACTAAGCTTTCAACCAGTATGTCTGCTTTTATGAAATATACATGAAACAATCTTTCCTTAAACTAAAAATACACGTCATTTTAGCTCCACTGAAAAACTAACGTTAAACATTTATTTCTTCACACAGTGTGAATCAAATTACTGTATACATACTGCTTCAAAAATGCCATAAAAATGCATGCTCGGCTCCAGCTGAGGATTCTAACAGCCATGTGTCCCAGAGCACCAGCTATTTAAAAGTATTTTCTACATTTCAGGAGCTATTCACTTACCAGGCTGCCTCTTTCCTTAGCTCAGCTAACTTGTGCAAACGTTGAAGGGCCTTTTCCTGTTTTCTTTCATCTTTTCTTGACTTAGAAGCTACATTTCGAGCAAACTCCCTCTGTTTCAGCTCCTTGAGCCTCTATGAGAAACAATCACATACACACAAGAAAGAAATGACAAACATTTATAATTAGAGTTATTTTCTGGTAAGCACATATAATGAGAGCTGTTTTCCAACTTAAACAAAGTGATTCATTCAATAAATTTATACATTTCAAGTGAATTACCAAAATTTACCATAGAGGTAACCTAGATAATTTTTACTGTAGCTTTTGTGATTAATATAGACAGTCTGAGTAGGACTAGGACTATGTTCGTAGCTAGTTACATTTGATGAAGATTTTACCAATACTAATTACTACTGATTAGGTCATTGCAAAAAATATACCATGGAACAACAGAAGGAAAAATAGACTTTCTTTCTTTTTCTATTCCTTTTAATGTTTATCCTTGAGAAAGTATCTGCAAGAAACAAACACACACTTCATTTTGTAATGATTAATGTCCTTTCTAGCACGATAACTCTTATGTTTAATTTGACATCATTCTGGTGTCTGAATGTGTTCTACTCCCTTACTGTATAGCCTTTTGTAGGATGCAGATAGCTTTATGGCTTGCAGTAGAACAAGGCCCCAGGATTTTGGCAGATAACACTTTCTGGAGCATAAATTAAGACTCTTGTGGTTTTTGTTTTAAGATAATTATGTTATCTAGAGCTGACTAAATCACCACAGCTTTGCCATTGTGCAAAACATTGTTTTAAATGTGTAAAATAGCTGACTGTTGCATACTGAATATTTCACCCAGAGAGCCAGTAACCATGTGCATAAGAACAGTCTGATCATATTGCAAGCTTTAGGATATTTTTTGTTAGCTTCAGCAAAAATCAGTAGAGTACTTCATAAATATTAAGGCCACAACCAAAGAAAACAGCATAAAAACACAGATTTAGCATTTTGCCTATCAAATTAATTTAAATAGATAATGAAGAGCTCAGAATGCTGAAACACATTTGTACATCTGCATGCTAGCCCACGATTTTAAAGGTATTTATTTTAATAACTCTAAGCCTAATTCTGCCTCTCTTTAAGTCAGTAGAGAAATGCCTGCTGAGTTCAAGAAGAGCCAACTTTTTAAATTAAATGTGGGAATTTCCAATAACAGTCAAAGGAGTTTCTTCAGTCACAAAGATTAAAGACAAGGTAGGTACATGCCACTTCTTTAAGGATCACTTTACCTTTTCACTCCCTTCTGCAGCATTTAAAATTCTAATTTAAAAAGCATATGCAATAGATCATTTTCAGTCCTGTTAAGAAATGGTTACGTCTAGCACAGTTAGAGAGAGGGGCTAAATTGTGGGCTTGACTCCAAACAGCTCAGAAAATGTAGGGCTGCTCTGAACGTGGGGCCGCCCTTGGAGGCAACAGCTTGTCCTTGCTGCTTCTTAATGGCAAGTGGAGTGACTTCATACACAGCATGGATCATTTCAGACATGATGCACCATTCACTGACCCCACAGCATTATCCACTACCCTCCCTTCACTCCACCACTGAACTTTAAGCATTTAGAATATTCCTTCTAAGACTATATAATATTTTCAAGTTCTGACAGTTCTGCTGTGACCAGAATATTGATTCTGTCAGTCACTGCCTCTTAATATTTTGAGGCGGACACTGGTCACTGAATGTTAAATGCTGATGACTGCTTCATTCCCCGGACAGTTACAATCTGTCAGGCATAACAAGAGCTCGACAACATCCCATCTAAACTCTATCTGTAAAGCTTTAAGCTGGTGGAAAAAAACCCATTTGAACCCCATTCAGCTTCCAAAAATCATTTCACAGGAACCATTGCTTCCTCAATCAGAACTCCTTTTAGAGAAAGGTCACTTCTACCTCTTAGTAAAGAATCACTTAAATAATTTTAGAATCACTTTTTAGAGTGAGACGATAAGGCAACAAAGCAGAATACTGTTTTACACTGTTCTTTCTTCAAATAAACAAAAAAAATGTGCGTATGTGATCGTATGTTATATGTATCACTGTGATTATTAAGGTGTGTACAGTGGGACATTTGTATAGGGAAGCTGGACACATAACTGTTGGATGACTCAGCCCTTAATGCTATCAAAATAGGTCAAAATGATTCATCGCGCCTTCAGCACTGAAGTTCTCTATCTGTTGTAAGATCATGCTGCTAACCTTAATCTTTTTCCCTCCTCTCGCCGAACAGCTTGCTCCAAGCACTTCTAGTATTATGCCTGGGGAAATAATTCCATGACGTCTTGGTTAGGTACACCTACCCAGTATACCTAATTCCGTGACTTACCTGTTAGGTACAAAGACCTGGTTAGGTTTACAGTCCTTGTTGAAGTCCTATTTTCTTATTTCAGCTTTTTAAAATCATTTCACATGTTAAACCTGACTAATCTTTTTATTATTTATTTTTTAAAGTACAAGGCTCTGAAGTTCCTCTCCGAGATACTTATTTTTCTTCATGCAGTCATCAATATGTTAAAAAAAAAAAAATTTTCTAAAAGCACATTAGAAGTTGCAACCATAAATTTTTAGACTAAGTTTTCTGGCTTCAGCCTCTTCAGTAACAGTTTAGGAAAACACCGCCATAAAGACTGAAATGAACCTAACAAACTTCTAAACTTTCCAGTCTTTACAATGTGTACAATAACTGAAAATGAGGAATGATGGTCAGGTCCTCTAAAAGATTTTTTTCATAATCCTTGGAGGATGCCCTAATAACTGTAATCAGAAGCAGCTACAGGAATTCTTTTTAAGTGAGCTCTTTATTTTAACTCTTTCTGTCAGTGAAATCACAATCACATTTTTATTTTGGTTAGATATTGGAGCATTGTTCAGGAATTGCTTCTCGGCAGCAGGATCTGGTCCTTGCCAGAGATTTTTGCCTCAGGACCATGACAAGCTTCTTCAAATAATATATAAATTTGACTAATGACACACAGCAAATAGGCCTTTGCAAATGTTGACACACATACCATAGCCTGGGCTAACTGACATAGACAAAATTTTAGTTACCCTTTAAGCCAACCTTTAATATTATTCGTACAGGGGCCCATGAGAAAAATATAAGATTAAGGAAAAAGAAGTGTTAAATATTAAGATTGCATATTGTGAAACAAAATTAATTAATAATGTTGTTTGACTTAGGCTTTCACTTTCAACAATCCAATTGAAGTATATTGTAAAGTAACTTTGATAACATACCAGTGGCACTACTGTAAATAGGAGATATCGGTAGCAAGTGGTTACAAGAGCACTGCCTGTGTTTGCATGAGTCTGCACTTACATGTGTCTTCTAGTGCATCGCTGTTGTTGCAGAGTGAACTATTAATAATGCTAGAGCAAGGATATATGTGTGATCAGGTTGTGCTAATAAAACATTACTTAAATTATCAGCAAGACAAAGCTTGAGACTACTGAAGGAAAGCAGGATTTTAAGAGGGAACCCCGAAAGTACAAGCACATGACTGTAGCAGAAACCTTGAAAACGCAAGCAGAGGATGAAACCAGGGGCCCCAGGGCTATAAACAACTCACCAATGGTCAATTACTGCTTTTTAATGTAACTTTGGAAAAGGATAAAACTGGGTTTAGGGACAAAAAGAGAAAAAAGTAGTATCCAATACTTTAAAAAAAAAAAAAAGAACTCAATAGAGCAAACATGGCTATAATACACAACTGTGAACCAACAGAGAAAGAGTAAGTGCTCTGTGTTAGCAACCGTTTAAAAATGACCCCAAACAGACTCTAGAGTGAGGAGGAAGAAACCATCAACATTAGCATCATCCTCTTCCTGGTTAAGAGGAGGAAGAAAACATCAATATCAACATCGTACATGAAGAACTCACGATGCTGAAAACTTGTGATGAACCTCCTTTTTCTTCTTAAGGAGCATTGGAGCAGGACCATAACACCGGAAAAGGGTTAAACACTGGCAAGTTTGTGTAGGTAAGCAATAATCAACATAGCAGATCAAGCTTTCTGTTTTAATACAGCCCAGAAGCAATTCAGTGCAATATACTCTTGCCTAAATCAGATATGAACTTTTCAGGAGACCATCTGTCCTTGATTAAGAATCATTACGAAAGTAACAGAAATAATAATTAATTAATATGATAGAACTTGTTACTGAAAGGAAAAGTACTCAAGTCTCAGCTTACACTCTTAAGGTTGAAGGCAATTTCTAAGGAAAATTGACAATATCATATTTTCTTTTTCTTTCCTATAACAAAAGTCATACTTGGATAAAAATGCTTCCACTCTCACTATACAGGTTCTGATTAATGGATGAAGGTCACACTAGGAGGAAAGAATAAAGCAATATCTAGAGCATTAAACTCTGAAATCTAAACTGTTGTATGTGGTGCAAGCTTTGAAGAAAAGAAGGAAAAAAGCACATAAAAAGTTATACAGGTGCAATTAACTAGGTGGACCTTCTGTATAGCTCAACAGAAGATAGATTTAAAATGTCTATGCTCAATAGAAAGGTATTTCTGGATAAAATATTGCTGCAGAAAATGGAAAATAAGAGCAGTAGCTTTACCATTTCAAGGTCAACTTAACTATACATTTAGGGAAGTAAAAAAGAAAAGTTTTCACACTTTTTATAGTAGACATAAAGAAACAAACAAAACTGCTTTTCAGCTAAGAACTACAGGTGGTAGCTATGAAAACCTTGTCCATTCTTCTTATAAACATCAGAAAAAATCATCCTATTCTGAGAACTCTCCTACTTCTGCAAACAAACTTCTTACTATCCCCAAGCACTATACAAGCGTTACTATACCACTCCCTGATTAATAAATATTTGGAGAGCAGCTGTTGTACTTTTGCACAAGATTTAGGCTATTCAATTGAAACAATAATCCCTGCCACATCCTGTTCTTTTTTGCAGAATTGCCATAGAAGATGCCTGGGGAAGATTAAGAGGACATAATTTTACACAAGCGACACTTTTTTCCTTCTCCACATCTTGGATAGATTGCTGGAATTTTTATCGAGATTCCCTTTTTTTTAATGGCAGCAAAGTGACACATCCTTTACT